GACAGCTGGGGCCATGAGGGATCCCCAACCCAACCATAACCGCCTTCTTCCTCCCCACCCCCAGCTGCGGCGGAGCCCCATCAAGAAAGTCCGCAAGTCCCTGGCTCTTGACATCGTGGACGAGGGCGGGAAGCTGATGTCCACGCTGCCCAAGGTTCTGTCTGTGGTAAGGAGTCTGAGAACCGCAGAAGCTGTTCTACCCCAGCGAGGATGGACTCTCCCTGGAGGCCTCTGCCTTTGGGACCCTATCGCTGTGGGGAGGACCCTGGAGGTAGAGTGGTCTGGTGGTTCTTGGAAGTGGTTTCCATGTGCCGCTCAGCAGGGAGGGGCCTGATGGGCAGCATAGGGCTGGGCACCTGCCCCTCATTTAATCAGAGCAGCTCTGTTCCTGTCTTTCCAGAAAGTTTTATTTGGCAAGAGTTGAGTTTGCTAAAATACTTATGAAAACCATGGACCTGGGTTCCCAGCACCTTCACTTGGATCCTAGCCATGGTGGTGACTCCAGAGAGGGTCGATGACATGCCTCAAGTACAGCCAGGAGGTTGGGGCACATCAGCCCTGGGATGGGTGCTCTCCAGTTCCCAGGCTGACCTCGGGAAGGGGGCTCTTGCCTACGCACAGACTAGGTCCTCAGAAACCATGCCACAATGCTGATCCCTTGAAACTGACGATGGGGTGAGCCTGTCTTACCCTGGCGCTTAGTGAGAGGCGTGCTGGGGGTCATAAGAGAAGGGATTTTCTGATTAGATCTTGCAAGTACCCACAGCCCTTGTGGAGAAACCTCACTCTGGACTTAGAAACCTCACTCAGACCTGCAGCTGGCATTGTGTAGGGCACATGAAATAATTTACCAAAAAAAACCACATTATGGCAAGTGGTTAAGAGCACAGGATTTGGAGAGGTGGACCTGGGTTGCGTCCTGACACCAGCGCTTGCTCTCTCAGATCTCTTAAGGCCCAGGGCGCAGCAGACAAAGGCCAAGAAGAGCAGGGAGGCTGGACGGGCCTGGGGTGCTTTGTGCAGCTCCTTCTGGGTGCTGGTAGACACAGGCATTGCTCTGACTGCTTGTGGCCCTGGGAGAAACTAGAGCACCCTCCTCTCTGCCTGAGGCTGTGGGGGAGGGGCCAGCATTATCGAGCATTTATTGGGTGCTGGGCTTTGAAATAGGCACTTGACAAATATTTTCTTAATCTTTAATCTCCCCATTTAGAAGAGAAAACTGAGGCTTAGAGGTTAATGTCCTGCTTAAGGTCGCAACAGCCAGGAGGTGGTGCTGGGATGTGACGGGGTTTTTTTGAGTTTGTGGCAAAAAAGTCTTTAACTTGGTTCTGATTTCAGCCGACACATGTGCCATCAGGCTCCTCCAGCCTTGCCCTGCCTGGCATCAAAGGTGAAAACAGCCTGCTCAACGAGGGCTTCCTGCAGGCTAAGCCTGAGAAGCCGGTGATGTCCCAGAAGCCCCGCAGCCACCTACCACCACCTGCCCCTGTGAGTGCTGTCCACGAATGTGGCACCACCCTTGGGAACTTGTTCTGCCGCCCTTCTCCCCACGAGGGCTTTGCACAAGCTGTTGCCTCTGCCTGGATCCCTGATCAGCTTAGGTTTCAGGTCTCAGTCCCGATACCAATCCTTGAGGGAACCCTCATACTGGAGACCCCCTTCCACACAAGTCCTCTTTTATGGCAGGGGTCTCACTTGTACTTACGTTGTCTGTATTTAGTTGCTTAGCTCATGCCTGTCCTTGAGGCTGCCCTGGTGCCCGGTGGTTGCTCGCTCATGTGAACATCTATATGTGTGAGCCCCTCCTTCTCACCAGCTCGTGTGGGTATAGCTTTTTCTCAGGCGGAGGCTGGTGCCACAGGGGCTTGGCCATGTCTTGTAGTCCAGCATTCATACTCAGAGACAGGAGTGACCTCCCCAGGGCCACCAGGAAGTTGGAGAGAACACAGGAGACTGGTTTCCAGAGGGAGGGTCATCGAAATGTCCCCCACCCCTCCCATCAGGTTCACTTCCTCCAGGGTTCCCTGGGAACACGCTGCCCCTGCCTGGATGGTAACCTTCTTGCCTCCTCCCAGATGACCAGCGCCTGGAAGACAGTGGCCTGCGGGGGAACCAGGGACCAGCTCTTCATGCAGGAGAAAGCCCGGCAGCTCCTGGGCCGCTTGAAGCCCAGCCACACGTCTCGGACCCTCATCTTGTCCTGAGGGGCTTGGCGGTCACGAGCCCATTCTCATGTTTACAGGGGGCTGGGGAACTGACGCTGATCTGTGAAATTAAGAACCACACTCAGGTGACCACCTGCAGGGAGCCTTCTGCTGCCAACCCCTCCCCAGATCTCTCAGGTGGAAACAGCAGGGCCACCTCTGTCCTGTGTCTGAGTGCAGCTGTGCCTGTGGCAGTTTCTGGTGCTAACAGAACAGAGTCCCACCACTGGGCCTGCCTGGGCCTTTTCCCAGGGCCACAGGGAGCCCCAAGCTCTGATCAGGTGTGGCCTCATCTCAGATGCCTTCTTAGGACCAGGCATGGGCCACATGCTTCTTCCTCATGTTGGCGTGTTTTCTTGAAAAAATAAAATTGCCTTTTTCCTAGCAATGATGGTGCAGCTCTTTTGCCACCTGGTGGTCATTGGTGTGTTTGCAGCAGCAGGTAAACTGAGCCATAGCTCCTTTCTGAAGGTCTTGGAAGGTCCTTGAAGAATTTTTCTGATTTTAAGGCTCCCTCCTCAGCATCCTCACCTACTAGACAACTCTGCACCCTGCCCAGGGTAGCCATCATCTTAACTTCAAACACCACAGATTTGTTTTTCCTTTTTGTTTGTTTTTGTTTTTCATTTTTTATTTCGGAGAGAGAGAGAAATAATTGACTTGTTCCATTTATTTATGCATTCATTGGTTGATTGTCCTGTGTGCCCCAACTGGGGATCAAACCTACAACCTAGGTGCATGACCTGACTGAGAATCAAACACACAACCTTTTGGTGTACGGGACGGTGCTCCAACCAACTGAGCCACTGGCCAGGGCTAGAGACTCACTTTTCATATCTATATTGGCAATAAAAATACCCCTTAGTATTGTGTCCGGGACATCATAAAATACTACTTGCAGGGCACCTGGCCTCAATGTAGCTCCCCTCTTTTCTCCTGCCATGCCAGAGTCCCACTGTTCTTGGACACGGCTTTTCTGCTAGGCTCCCCTCTGCCAGGAATCCTGCACATGAACTTGGAAAGCTTGCCTTGCTACCCAGGGTCGGTGGGGCTGCCTTCACCTGGCTCATTTGCCAGCTCTCCTTTGTCATTCAGTCACTGGCACCCAGCCCAGCACTTGCTTGCTGTGGTCACTGTCACTGTTAACAAGTGTTTTTATGATGGTCTCTGTGAGAGTGTGTACCAGCAGATGTTTTCTGGAGTCAGGCCCAGTAGAGGCAAGGAGTGAGGACTGAGGAGAGGGAACAGGTGGCTGAGATCCAGCTCAGGAATGTGGAACAGACATTCCTCTCTTGCCTGGTTTTCCCCCCGGATCTCCAGGCAGGAGTTTTTCGTAAACTCCTGTATTTCCTTACTCTTCCTGAAACACCTTGAATCAGACCGTGAGGGTGACAGTGGACCAAGTGGGAAACCTCCTTCTAAGGGGCACTGTCAAGACAGTGCTGACTTCTGTTACGTAATGCAGCCTGGAGCAGTGTTGAGGATTCTGGAGTGTCCAGGCTCAGGAGAGAGTGCTGTGATTGATTAGTTGTGTCTGTTATGTGCACGGAATGGGTGGTGGTGACACATTTCACATACTCACTACTCTCTCTGGCTTAAAAGTTTTGGTTAGTATTGATCAGAATGGACATGTATTTGATTTAGAGATAAATGTTTTTAAAGAGGTGTTAAATTCTTTTATATGATTTTTGACATACATGGATTGATTTCTACTGTTCAATTTTTTGTCTTCTCTGTCGTCTCTCCCACCCCTTTCTTTGTTGCATACATCAAGTTTTCTGACATCTGATCTCTCTTCTCCTCTTGTCTGCTTTGGAACATAAAATTATTTCTCATATTTTAGAGGCTGTTTTAAAATTTATAATATATATATTTGTTATTCAGTGTTCCTATTTTTCTGAACAAAGCCCTTCTGTAGCCTATTTTTAAAAATTGATTTTAGAGAGGGAGGAAGGGAGAGGGAGAGAAACATTGATGCGTGAGGGAGACATCGAGTGGTTGCCTCCCATACGCACCCGACCAGGGGTCAAACCAGCAACCCAGGTATGTGCCCTGACTGGGAATCAAACCCTCGACCTTCAGGGGCATGGGATGACACCCAACTAACTGAGCCACACCAGCCACAGCTAGGGTAAGTCTATTTTTGTCTAGAAGTTTTACTTTAAATGCAGAATTGGTGATTTTTCTCAGTTGATTAAACTTGTTTACGTATTTTATAAATTCACTTACTCATTGTTTCTCTTAGTCAGTCATGTTTTCTTTTTGCTGAGCCCCACCGCCACTGCTACTAGACTAGCGTTAATTGAGGCTTCCTGCGTGACAGGCACCACCCTGCATCCGAACAATCCTGGTGCGTGAGATCCCTGTGCTCCGCACAGCCCGCGCGAGCATCCACCCTGCTTTGCGGGTGCGGAAATGGTCACGGAGAGGGGGGGTAGTTGCTGGAGACCTACCGGCCTGCGTGCCTTGTGGCTTGAGTTCATTCTTTTCTTCATCGTGGTGTTTTCTGCTCCGTGTGTTTGAAGTTCTCAAAATCATTTTAAATTCACAGAATCTTGCCAAGAGGGTACAAAGAGTTCACATATACCCTCCGCCTGGCTTTCCCTAAAAGTGCATATTTTGCCCCATCTTTGCCAGTAGAATGTTCTTAAGCCTTTTGATCTTTACCAGTTTGCTTAGGTGAAAAAAAAGAAAAAGTGATCCCAGTGCAATTTGCCTCGCATGCCTTTCATTCTGGCAGGCGCCTCTCCTTTCATGCACTTAGGAGGCCTGCGGCTCCTTTCTGCTGCCGGTGGCTTACTCTCCTGGTTGCAGTACCTTCTGGGAGGTGGTAGGGGTGAGGAAGGTGGTCCTCTCTCTCTCTGACTCTGTCATTTTCACAAACAAGCTTTTGGGGAACAGAAATCCTAAAGACAAACATGGGATGGCTGTTAGTGTCGTCAACGTTCCAGACTTCAGGGTTGGGGAGCTGGGGGACACTGGAGGGGCGCTTCCATTCTGCTCTGCACTTGGAAAGCTAATTTTCAGAGGGCTCAAGCTGTCCCCTTCCTTTGTGCGGCTTCTGTTGACACGGGCTGCCTTGGGCTCCGGCTTTGTCGTGAGGACTGCATGGCAGGCGTGTTTGCAGCTGGCCATCTCTGGCTTTCTTGGGGTTCTTTTTCCTGCACGATGCCAGGTGGTACTGAAATCTGAGCGGGATGTGTGGTGATGGTTGTAAGGGCAAATTTCTAAGGCTTCAGATTCCATGATAAATTGTTCTTAAAGCAGAGTAGCTCACTGCGCAGAGTCAAAATAAAATGCCCTCATGGAAAAGGCCTTTGGTCAGAAGGATGGAGCTGTCCTCTGCCTGGCACTGGCCTTGGAGCAATGTAGCTGAAGGTCTTAACTCGCATTCCCTGTTCTGGGACCACGGGTGATGGATTAGAGAAGGGACAAGGAGGGAGCTGTCAGGAGCAGCTGGACAGAGGGCAGAGCCATCGAATGCCACGTGAACCAGGACTCTGTGAAGCAGACACCAGAGTCAGAAACCACCGCAGGCAGGTGGGGAGGTATGTGCAGCCTCCTTGATTCTGAGAGTTACATTGTGTGATGTCAAGGGGGGCTGTGGCCCCAATGGGCAGCATGAGTCATTAGGAAAAGGCTACTTGTCCGCTTTTGAGGGGCAGGGTGGCTTTGGGAAAGCTGCCATTTAAAATTGTGACATCCATTGTCATTTGTCTTTAAACTTCAACATTTAATATAATTCCCTATATAATTGGGTTTAAATCTATCTTATTTTGTGCTTCCTAACCTACTCTTGGGTTTATTTTTTTCTCCTTTCTTATTTTAAATAGACCGTTAAAAAAAAACTACATTTTCCCACTGTTTTGTAAGTTACACTCGTTGCTTATAGTTACTCTATAAATTAAAACATTCATGGGTAACTTATCAATATTTCTTCCTGAATAATACAGGGCTTTGTCTTCATTTACTTCCCTCCTGACCGCTGTTACTGTTCCCTGTACAGAGGTGGGCAGAAGTAGTTTTACAGTTGTTTACATGGTAAATAATACAATAAATAAGTAATAATACAAGAATAAATTCTGTTTCATAGACTCACAACTGTAAACTGACTTTTGCCCACTGCTGTGTTTTAAGCCTAAGTTTTAAAGACTTGATAAGACTGTTGCTCTTGTCATTTTACATTGTCCACACTTGTTTATACTTGGTCTCATGTTTACCCCCCTCTGCTTGTATCTCAGATCTGCCAGGAGGGATCATCTGGTCTCTCTCTGCTAGAAGTTTGCCTTTTGTTTTGGTTTTGTTTGTCTGACAATGTCTTTGTTCCGCCCTCATTCGTAAAAGATATTTTTGCTGCCATAATTATTTTCTGTTCTTTCTTCACCTCGAAGCCGAGTTTGGTTTCTTCTACCTTCCACTCAGGCCGAGAATCCAGAGTTCCACGGATACTTCCCTTCTTTTCATACATTTTAAGAATTTTTTTCGTCTTTGGTTTTCCTACAGTGTCACTCTGGTGTTGAACGGTGAATTCCTTTTTATTTGTTAGGCCTCTTGAATCTGTGGATTTGTGTCTTCCATTAGTTTTGGAAAGTACTTAGCTATTGTCTCTTCAAATACTGCTTTTTACCTAATTCTCTGATTTCCCCTGAAATAATAGATGTCACTTTCACTGATATTTCAGTGTCCAAACTGAGTCTCATGGCCACATCTAACTTCAGGGGTCCAGGAAGCAGACCTATTGTGTGCAGGAGAGGATGGGAACTTTGTCAAGAGTCCTAAGAACGTTCCCAGCCTGTCCCTTTTGTCACCAGTATTTATTTTCCTTTTCTCCACAAGTGCCATGTACTCCCTCCTCCTTGAGGGAGGAGACCCGAAGTCTTAGCTCAGATTGAGGGATAAATGGCTTGGCCAGTGCTCACTGGGGGCTTCTTGGGTTCTGGCAGGAACTCTGGACCGATGGGAATTCTGACATCTCCAAGCAAGCTGCCTCCTGTGAGGAATGAGAGGCCCTGGAGTCATGCTCA